TCATCCCACTTTTATTTCAACCCTTTTTTTTGGTAATGTTTTATTTGGTATTGTCACTTGATTATGTGTTTGTTCGCCACGATGACTTGACAGCCTACACAACGGGAGGCCATCTGCACTTGTCCATGCGGATATGTATCCCTCTGGCATGGCTGGAACTCCAGAGGAGAGAGAGGGTGAGGGAGGGAGAAAGAAAAAGGAGAGAGGGGGGAGGTAGGGAGGTAGAGAAAGAAAGGAGGGAGGACAGAAGGGAGGTAGAGAAAGAAAACGAGAGGGGAGGGAGGCAGAGATAGAAGAGAGGCAGGTCGAGGTTGCAAATATCACTCCTTAAGACACAAAAACACAACATTTGCTAGCTCTGGTATACAACTGTGGGAGAAGAAAAGAATTATCGAAGACAAGGCGGAATGGACTGGATATTCTCGCTATGGAATGGCACAAACCAAGGAATGTATATACTAGGGAGAGATCTAAAATCACCTCAGAGGCTTAATGTACCACAAGCACATTGAGGCTGAAACTGTCCCAAGAACAGAATCTGGTACAAACACGAGCGAAATGATAATCAAACTGAGCTAATTACCTGAATAAATCTTTTAGAACAAAAACAAATGGTTAATGGTTAAAAAAACAAAATAAATGTGCCAGACATCTTAGGTCATAAAGCACTATAGGAAAGTATATTAGAGGAGGGATGAAGGGTGATAGTTGCTATGCTTCATCTATCTAGAGTAATCTTGAAAAGTTAAAGATGGGTAAAGGAGTTGATGTGTGAATGGGCTATGGTGGGTCTAGGTAAGGGAATTGCATAAGGAATTCACGTGTGTATCCAGGAGGGAGTGGGAATGATAGAGGGGAGAGGGGGCGGGTGAATGTACGTGTAGTACGAGTTGAGGGGGGGTGGGTTGTGAGTAGGAGGAAGTAGTGTAGGGGGAATATGAGTAGGAGGATGGATATCGGCAGTAGTTGGAGTAGAGGGGGATGGATTGTGTTGGAAGGGAGTAGGGGAGAGGGGTGTAGGGGGAATGTGAGTAGGAGGATTGATATCGGTAATAGACGGAGTTGAGGAGGATAGGTTATGCTGGGAGGGAGTAGGAGGAAGGGGAGTAAGGGAAGTATGAGTAGGAGGAGGATGAATATCGGCAGTCACTTCGAGCGTGAGTTGTGGAATTGTGTGTCTCGAGCATATAGCTTTGACTATCTTCCATAGTTTCTGCAGTGGAGTTGGTTGGAGAGTTTTGTGAGACAAAGGTTTTCTTGTGAGGAGGGGAACTGGAGACTGGTGTCTGAGGAATAAAGAGAAAGGTAGGTGGAGGCGTGTGTGGTAGAAGGGGTGGAACGGTTAGTCTGTCTGCCGCGGGTAGTGCGGGGAGGGTGAGGGGACGGTATTGGGGCTGTAGTTGAGATTGGAGTGTCTGGAAAGAATTCGACTAGGGATGATAGGAGGTAGAAGTAGAAGTGGGGAAATAAGTAGGTATAGGGGAGGGTTTAGGAACATCTTGGGATGGAGGGGAGCAACATTACTAGAGTAGGGAGTATGAGAGAAAGCTTGCCGGGGTGCTTCCTGTCTGGCTTCAGGCAGAGTGACATTTTTTGTATCTGAGAGTTGATACCTCAGACTCGTAAGTGCCTCTATAAAATACATTATGGGGGCTGCCGCAGTTAGCACATGTGCGTGTTTGTGCAGTTTGATCGGTTATGACCGGGTTGGGCACATAGGGGGTATCGGTCTGTGGAACGGCAGTGTTTAGCAGGATGTCCAAAGCGCCAACAATTATGACACTGACGGGGAGGAGGTGGGTATGGTCGAACAGGGAGGCATTGTTCACCAATGTAGATACGAAAGGGAAGGTCATGAGTACGGAAATTAAGTTTGGCGATGTTGGTGGGTTTATCTCGATGACCTTTAGGAGGAATGGAGTAGCAATGTACTAATATTACATCAAGGTCTTTGAGGCAGTCGAGCAAGTATTCTCTACAATCTGACCAATCGATATCCATAGGCCAGCTTGCTGGGGAGATTGACACAGTTCCGGTACAAGTATTAAGAGTTGGATGAGGTTCTGCAGGAATGGGGTTGCCAGAGAGATCATTTAGATTTGATAGTGCTATAGCTTGAGTTTCAGATGTGACGGGAACGATCGGGTTGAGTACGGAAAGGGACTCTGACCACTTGCTTTTGGAGACATTGTTGAAAGAGAAGTGTTGCCTGAGTAAGGAGCTGTAGAGGGGATCACAAAAAAATCGGTCCCATTTAGGTGGGCTAAATAGAGTATTCAAGATATTTGTAGGGTTGGTGGTGGTAGACGGACGGGGACGTGTGGAAGAAGTATTGTTGAGGGATGTAGTATTACGGAGAGATAGGCTGTATGGTAGTAATAGGGGAGTTTGGGGTGCTTGATGAAGAAGGCTGTCGGGGTAGAGGTGATGAAGTTGAGGAAGTCTCGACTTGGGTGGATAATGCACTAGTAGGCACTGAGGAGTGGATAGTAGTTGTAGTGTTCAGAGTCGTACTCCAAGGAGAGCCTGAGGTCGGGGAGCCGGGAGAGTTTGAATTGATGAGGCTATTTGATGAAGGGGCAAGCCTCATTCCCTCTAATATGGGTATTACATTTTCATTACCCCTTGAGGTGTAAGGGCTAAACAACCAAAGCAGGGGAATACCGTGCCTATGGTTCCCTCAGGCCGTTCAGGACAGGCACAAAGTCAGCCTTTTTATCCTTTCAGCACGGTTCCTACACCTTAGGAAGTAGATAGTAGAAGGGGTTGGAGAAGGGACGGAAACGAAAGACAACACGGGCAAGGGATTAGGGGGAATTAAAACAACAATAAAAATCCCAGCGACCAGGACAAAACTTGGATTGATAAGAATAATGCAGACATATGGTAATACTGACTAATATAAAGAACAATAAAATTTAACAGGACCTTTGATACCTGGCACGTGTATTACATGTATTTCTTTAAAACATTAAACATTAACTTGGCAAGCAAAAATCCTTATAATGCATGGTTTTAAACTGATTAAAACAGAACGAGAAACGTCCTACACGTACCGAGCCCTGAGGGAATATATTCACCTTAAAAAAGTTTCGCCAGTACCTACAAATATGCTGTCAGTCACAAACGCAGTGCTAGCTCTTATTACAGATTTTGAGATAGGTCACAACCCGATATATTTGAATCAACCAGTCACATTTCCCTTCTCTGTACACGAAACTATTATCAAAGTTAAGAACAGAAAGCAAGGCATGCGAGTGTTCCAGGTAAGAAATAGGGGTTGGATTTGGGCAATAAGGGGTGCCATCACCCATCACCTTTTAGTACACCATGAGGAGGGTACAGTCCACAGCTCGTCTTGCTGCTCTCATGACATTGGGATCGGGTGACAAGGGGCCTGATTCGGGTAACACAGCATCCAATACTTCAGTCGAAGTAGGGCTTTCTGCTGGCATGTCTTTTACTGGAGAGCCATCACCTTGGTTTAGTTGGGAGAGCATCTCTTGTGGCCCTAGATAACATGCAAGGTACTTAGTTGCAGGCTCATAGTTGTACATGGATAACATGCAAAAATCTGGTCATTAGCGATCTATTTTTTCTGGTAAAGACAATTGTTAGAAGGCAATAATGATAGAGGTAAAGAAACTGCCCATAGACAAGGTTCAAACCATCCAGCTTCAAATGCAGGTAGGGCCTCCTGGATAATAGCTGGGCTTCTGCATCCTGGACCAACAGGCAACTGCGTGAGGCTTGTATCTGTATCAGTACAGCTGAAGCATCTGCGTGGATCTGAAAGGATGATGAGAAGTCTGGGAGCTTTAGGATGGGTGCTGTCACAAGAGCTTCCTTAAGGGCCCGAAAAGAATCTTCCTACTTAGTTGCCCATTCAGGAGTATCCTTTCTGGTTAAATGGGTCAGAGGTGTAGCTATCCTGGCAACCCCATGTTTGTGCCTCTATTTTTTTCTACAAACTCCAAGAGTCAATCTAATTTCTCTTACATTCCTGGGTTTCGTCACTGTCGTTATAGCTTACACCTTACGATTTTTTTTTTTTTTTTTGGATTGTGAAAATGCATACTTATCCAGTGCTCAGATTGAGTTTCGTTGCAGCAATATATCAATATATCGTGCAGATACTCGATGTGGCTTTCGAAAGTTATAGAGGCCACCACCACATCATCCAAGCAGGCCAGAGTGGGACGGCCTAACTGGGGCAGAATGTATTATATACGTTGGAATAGGTTGAAGGGGGTTTGGGCTGTCGAAAAAACAAAATGGCGTTTTGCACAAAATGTCAAAGCCTGTGTGTCATCTGTAAAACAGTAGTTTGGCCTGTCTCTTTGGGGGTTATTGTCACAGACCAGTATCCTGTTTTACTATAAAGAACAGTAAACCATGCCTGTCCCGACAGACTGTCAAGTAGCTCATTACTTCTAGGAAGGGTGTATGTATCCGAGACAGTAACTGTAACGACAACACGAGTACATGACACAGAACCGAGATTTTCGCTTCACACTCCCAGAACACCCCATGAAGTAGCAGCAACACAAGGACCCTTTCGCCGACTCCCCCGTAGAGCTCCACATCACTCAACAGGCATCTCGCTCTCATTGTATTCAGCCATTAAAAATCGAGTTTACACCTCACATCTCTAAGAGTAGATGAATTTGCCTTTATAAACGAAATGTAAGGTACAAAATGGATTTTTTTTTTTAAATTGGCCAAGCAAGAGGGTTCTTTACTCTACTTCATCAGGTATAACTTCTTTTGATCTGGGCAAGAGTAACATATCAGTGAACCAGTCAAGGGTATCAAAATAAACTTCATGGGGAGGGGGTGGGATCAAATCGGGCCATGCAGGCAAACGATGGCTGGGAATGTCTTGCTGGAAAAGAATCAGTGGTCCTGAGATAGCAATCCAATAGAGCAGGTGCCTCAAGCTCATATGCAGCCTAACCTAAGTCGTCCCATGTGGTGATGAAGTCAAACATGGGAGGACT